TTGTTTATTTCTGCCTCCCACAAGCTAAAAGGTAAGCTGCATGAGGCCAGGGATTTTTTTTTTCGTCTTCATTGTTGTACCCCCAGTGCCTAATACATCCCAGTTGTAAGCACTCAAAAATATCTGTTGACCAGAGCATAGAAGCCGGTGGTTTCCACCAATCAGAGCATCAAAGTGAATGATGGTGGTAAAGGATTATAACCCACTGCGTAACATGGGAACCCATGAAAGAGATGGATACAAATGAATGAATGGGAAGGGAAGGTTCTTTCATACAACTGAAGCCAACTAACAGACGCAGGAAGTCATCATTTGACAACCAACCACATTAATAATTGACTCAGTTAAGAATTATGAATGGAATGCTAATCTACTTGGTGAAAGGTTTTAAGAATAATAAGGAGCTATTTACCTGGTTTCAAAGTATCTTCCCACAGGTGCTTATTAATTAGAAGGGGTAACCATTACTTTATCGTTGAGAACCTTGGCAGGCACCACCTAACCCAAACCATCAAAGCTAATGTTGCCAGAAATGGGATGGACTTGCAGAACATACGAAAAAGTAGAAAGAACCCCGCATCATTGCTGTAACGTTCCTCCCAGTAACACCCTCCGTGAACCTAATCCTAAGAACACAGCAGACGAGTATCAGACAAATCGAGGGGCGGTCTGCAAAATGACCGATCTGCCCTCTTAAAAGCAGTCAGTGACCATGAGCTGCAGGCAGACTCAGGAACTGCTCCAGATCAAGGGGACCAAAGGCACAGGACAACCAAATGTGGTGAATGGATCTGGATTTTCATTTGCCGTAAAGGACACTATTTGGATAATAGCTGATGTATGAATAAAGTCTGTGGAGTAGATAACAGTACTGTGTCAATGATAATTTCCTGGTTTGGATAACTGTGCTGTGGTTATGTGAGATTTTATTTTGAGGATACACATACTGACCTATCTGGGGACAAAGGGACATCTTGTCCACAGTGGTTAAAAATATGTGTATGTGCGTGTATGTGGATTTAATTTGTGTGTGTATTATATATATATGCACACGTGCACACTGGGGAGAGTAGAACACAGCACAGGTAGTG